CATGGTAAACATCTTTTGTAACATTTTACACTATTCCATTCAGTATAATTTTTATCATTTTTTGGGGAAAAAAATATAGAAATTAATACTTTTATTTAGCAAGGATGCTTAAAATGGATCAAAAGTGATGATAAAGGCATTTATAATGTTACAAAATATTTATATTTCAGATAAATAGTGTTCATATCGATATCAGAATTATATCGTCTCGAACGAAATTAAGAAATATATCATGATATAAATTTTGGTTTCGTCCAGCCCTAATCTAAACAAGGCATCACTTCAAAAACATGTCTTATAATTGGTGTATTCCATGTTAAAAGAAAAACGGTCACAAAACTGGACAAGCAACCAAAAGAAAAAACTTCTTCCTGCACTACTGACCATCATTCTGGTGAAACTGCTGATGGATTTCCAGGGAACGCTTTTGAAGGCGCCCCTGAAAGAAGTTTATGGAAACAGGTGTCAGATGCTAAGGAATACCTTCCTATCTGCCACATTGTTGCGAATATTTATTAATCAGAAGGGTTCAACCATCTGTCCCATATACCAGGCTACAAGATATTCACAACCACACCAAGGAGTAGAAATCGAAATAAAGGAGTTAGCGAAAAGTGCTATGAAATTTGCATCCAATTCTAGTAATGATGCTGTCATCCACATGGAAAAAATACTGATGTTATTAGGAATGGGACTTTTCCAAATGACAGCAAAGGACAGCATAGTTACAGCAGAGACTGAGACATTAGCGACAGATAAGATACAAACAAACGGCTCATCTGCAAACGACTCAATACACAGAAACCAAGTTCCATTGAAAATGTTTAGGCAAAGAAGAAGCATAAGGAAAGCAAGGCCAACGACTGTCTTAACAGATGACGAATCGAAAGAAAGTGATGACAAGATGACTTCAACCATGTCATTCAGTCAAACGGTTTTAAAACCACATAATGGAGAAGATAAAACCAAAGAATCAAGCATAACAGATAGCTTCGAGACAGAAAGCACTAAAGATCTTCTGTTGAGTACAGAACATCTTGAAATGAATACAAGTGAATTAGAAAATCTGGCCACCTCCAGAAAATATGCAAATACTAAAACAACAGATGGGAATTACAGCAGTGCTGACTGAAACTGGAGAGCCCATCATCAGCAGAAAATGAAGGAAGTGAGAAGAAAATATCTTCAGGGGGCAAAGAAATCAGGCCAACAGTGGGAGCAGTTCAGGAAACCACAAAATTTGGTCAAAAACACCAGACAAGCTTCAGTGGAATTCGATTAACGATGGCAAAAGCAACATTGGAAAAAGGAAACAGTGTATCTGATATAAAACACAAGGATGAGAAAGAATACTGGACTGGACAGCAGTGGAGAAGCTGATCTTGGTTACAAGTCAACCTGACATTTTAATGACAAAAGAACCCCGAACAAATAAATACAAAGAAAGTCAATCAGAGCCTGGTGATTTAAATACACAACATCTTGAAACAGCAATGACACCAAACACATTTAAAAAATATGCAGATTTACAGGAGACTGAACAAGACAGAAGAATGTCAACGAATCTGCCTGAAACAGAATGTACAGAAATCAACTTATCAACTGCAGAAAAAAGAACATCATTGGAGAGAGCATCTGACAACTGAAGAAAGACAGTCAGAACCTGTTAATTTCATTTAAAACTATATTGAAACAAAAGTCACAAATGAACCAGTGACACCAACCACATCCACAAAATCTGCAGAAGATTTTACAGCGACCAAAGTTAAGACTCTGCCACGCCCCCCTAAAACAGCTCGTTCTAACACGCCCCCACATATCTACCTCACTATGTGGAAATATTTGCATAATGTGGCCCAAATGTGAACGCAAAGAAAGAAGGCGTGGTTTCAGTAACAGCAGTTAGTGTTGAAGCAGCCATGTCAGGGAGACGCTGTGTGTTTCTAGGCGAAAGCAAAAGCACTTTATCTGGCCTTCCGAAAGTAGATGCATTTAGGAATCTTTAAGATTACTTACAACAGAACAGCAATGCATTTTATGGACGACCGTTTCGTGAACCTGAGAGGAGGTAATTCTGATTTTGCTATGACAATCTGGCACTTCTGAATCAGCTACTGTTTTGTTATTAGTTTAAGTATTTGTGCATAGTGTGTGTGTGTGTGTGTGTGTGTGTGTGTGCGAGAGCGAGAGAGAGAGAGAGCGCGCGAGCGAGCAAGAGAGAGAGAGAGAGAGAGAGAGAGAAAGAGAGAGAGAGAGAGAACACCAAATACACAAAATAATGATCTTTAAAAAAGCATCATTTGACCCCTTTAAGTTCAGAACATCTTGCATCAAAAGTTACATCCACTCCTTTAAGAAGACATGAACACACTGTCATAGTGACTAAACATCAGATAGAAATGACAGCAGAACTTCCTGAAAGAGAATGCACAAAAGAAATTGAGAAACTGACACCAGAAGATAAAACACCACCAAGCAAAGAAGCAGAAGGATCACTGCCTACAGATGAAGATGGTTGCTTTGGACTAATTCATCGCACCACCTCTGGGATGAAAAGATGCCAGGAGAAGATGATTAAAATTATGTTATACAATACCACACCAAAACCACAAGAGCCTTCAACTGTGAAACATAAGCAAGAGACAACAGAGCTATCATTCATATTGCAGAATGCAGTAAATATCAGAGTTCTAAAAAAAAATTACCCAAAATAATATCAATAAAGTTAATGCTGAAGATGAAAATAATCACTTCTACTATTTCAATGGCAAGTTAAAAAGAGTTGAAAATCATGCACTGTGGCTTGAGAATGATAGCAGCACACTAACCAGACCATAGGACAATCATTTCGTATTCTTGCAGTAAAATTGTAATTACATAAATTATGTAATTGTAGTTATGTAATGTGGAATTAATGATGAAAGGTCCACAGCTGGTCGCATTTTTTTTTCTTCTTCTACATTTTACATTTGCATAGAGATCAAATGAAAGTACAGACTATTTCCTATCATGGGCGTCACTTTATATTAAACATATAATGTTACAATTGTAAATATAATTCTAAAGTAAGTAAGTTTATGGCAGCTTTTTTTCCTGTATGTTTCCTGTAACTGAAGTCAAGCTAATTGTAATAATTACAGTATTAACAGTATTACAGTACAGTTATAATTGTAAATGACAATACAAACTGCATTGCTCCTTTTTTTGTCGTTGATCTAAGATAGATAACATTAGACAGAAAGAAAGAAAGAAAGAAAGAAAGATGAAGGGGAAAAGTATACCAGATAAGCGTCACAGCCCAGGCTAGTGTTTCTGCTGTAGCTCTGTCAACTGATTATACCTACAGTAGTTCAGTGTTGGACTGTCATTGTTTGACTGTTGTTGTCTTGCAAGAGGAAAGCATGACCGACTAATTCCAGGTAAGAAAAGAAATATATAGATAAAACGCGCTAGATGTGCTGAGGAGCAGAATATGGTTCAGAGAGCCGTTCAATAGGATGATGAAGGGAGAAGTTCAAACGAGCGTCGGAGAAACTTTGAAGGAATAACGAGACACCGGATCAGATCACAGTGTTTTTGCAATTTGTGTGAAACATCTCTCTTTAAACAGAGAATGGAAACGTTTGCCATTATTTGTATGATCTGTTGAAAGAAAATGTGTGGACTATTTATTCGTTTACTTCATAATACCATCTCGAGTCGCCTGTCTAGATGTGAGGATGATTCGATTTCGCGTGTTTTTAACATCGGATGTTTTTACTGTTTGTTTAGTGTTTTACCTGCAGTCGTAACCTTTGACAATATCATTTTTAAGTTCATGCAACATCAGAGTAACATTTTATGAACTTTGTTTTCAATTAACGATTATATGACAGTAAATATCTTAAAATGTATCGTCCCGTATTTGATTATGTTATTATAGAACGTTATTATAGGAGATATTTACAACATAGATATATTCATCATAATCGCAATGATTGTTCAAATCCAAAAATATGCAAACAATAATTTTCTCTAATGTAAATCCAATTTACTGTTATATAACTACAACATTATAATTTTAAGAGAATATTACATTAATATGGGGGAACGGTGCAAGAAAAGGTGACGTCTCAAGAACTGTACCTCAGTAAACACAGATTTCAAGTCAATAAGTTACACAAATATGCGTTTTTCTCATATTTTTCGTTTAAGTAAAAAAAGGGTGAAAATACTGAGTAAAAGGAGTGCTGTCCTCTAAACTATGATAATATTTTATGATGCTTATTTTGAGTAAACTATATATTGACAGGTTTTACCCAAAAGTTTGGACCTTGTTCTCAGAACAAGGATATTCAAATCATCTGAACAGAACCATGTTTCTTCATTTGTCAGCATATTGCAAGATTACAAGGTGAAGATTGACTGAACTAAATCCAGAATGGAGAAAGCAATACAATTACAGACACCTGGACTGTGAAGATAACTAAGGAGTGTGCGAAAAATGAGTCATGAGACGATGTGATATCAAGCATTAGCAAGGAGGAGCTAGAACAGCTAAAGGACATTCTACTGACATACTGAGAGCGGACAGTGGGGCGTTATTATAATGCTGGTATCACACAATTTTTGGCTAAAAAGGTTTTTGTCAAGCTGAGTAGCAGCCTTTCAATAAACACTACAGACTGTCCCAAGTGGCTTAAAATCAATGCTTACAAAGCATGTTCTTAATAGGAAGGAGATAAAGGCATGAATGTTTTCATCAACAACAAGGAACAACCATGAAAAATGCCTGTAAGCCATCATTTACAAAGAGAGACAGGTCAATACAGCACACATAACCATTCATTAATGTAAAATCAAAGAAATCGTGAAGATCAGACTCCACAGATTGTTAAAACAAGTTGCTAGACCACAATCGCTGCTAAAACCAAATCATCACGCATATACTGGTGTTTTTCAAACAGATAAAACCCTAGAAGACGATCAGTATGAACCTGACCGCCCATCTTCTGGATCACATGCTGAAGGCTTCCAACCTTTCTCGCTGGCAGTTCATCCAGGAATTCTCCATTCCTCCTCTGGTGGCCGTGCCCAGACTCCCTAGCACCCTGCTTCCAGTTTTTGGTCTGCTCTACGTGCTCATCTTTGGGCTTGCGGTGGTGGGAAACGGGGCGGTGCTGGTTCTCTTATGTCGCAGGAAGGCTCTGCAGTCTCCCAGCACCTTCTTCATTTGTTCTCTGGCACTCAGTGACCTCCTGATATCCATAGTGTGTGTTCCTGCCACACTGCTGCAGCACTTCTTCACCAACTGGTTGGCAGGTAGGCTTAATTATGTTCACGCTTGACAGAAATGTTCGTTTCTGTTATTTTTATGTGTCATAAGAGTCTATATCCATTTGGACACCCAATTCTTCCCACGGTTCCTGTTGCATCAACTTCACTCTGTTACATGACAGTAAAGTAAAGCTTTAAGGATATATAGTTCATGCATGATCAAAGACACTGACGAATGAAACAGTTGAAGCATTTGAACTCCAGTCCATTCATCTCACAATTCAGTGCTCATAGATGGTAGCCTGTAGTATTGTTCAAAAGGTAAAGCTTTCTGCATGTTTTTTCCATCTTTCACAAAACTACAATTCAACAACAGTTTGTGCCACACTTCAGTAAATGTGCACTGCGGGGCCGGCTCCAGGCATAGGCAGGGGTGGGCTAAGCCCACCCAAATGACAGTCTTGCCCACCCAATCAGAATTAGATAAAGATTGCATAAATTTTTTTTATGCAGTGACTAAAACCAATCTGAAGTGGACTGTATTTTAAGAAGTTTAAGATATAGCTGGAGACTGCCCCAACAATAATAAAATAACACCAGAAAATTGCAGCATTTTTCTTTTATTTCCTGAATGCAAGTCGCGCTGAATTCACCCGGAGTTTCAGTCTGTTGCAGAAAAGCAGAGGCTGACAACGAGCGAAAACGGGCAGAAATATTTGTGCGTTATTACCGGGAGTTTAATAGGCTACATGATTATGTATCATAGCCTACCACTGAAATTACTTGAGCAGTTTTAATGTTTAAAAAACCTGCTCATATAATAATGTGCATGGATGGGGCAAGAGCATAATATAAGCATCTAAAATGCATGTAGGCTATACAGTTCAGTTGAAAGCTTACCTATTTTGGATTACTGTTAATGCTGAATCTAAGAATGAAAACTGAAAGTAAAGAGCTTGTGCAGTGAAAGTTGCGTTCGTTGCAGCAGTCGGCTTGACTGTATAAGAAACCATTTTTGGTTCCACAAAGAACCATTCAGTCAAAGGTTCTTTAAAGAACCATCTCTTTCTTACCTTTTTATAATCTGAAGAACCTTCTTTGGCCACAAAGAAGCTTTTGTGAAACAGAAAGGTTCTTCAGATGTTAAAGGTTCTTTATGGAACCATTTAGACAAAAAAAAGTTTTTCTATGGCATCGTGAAGCACCTTTATTTTTAAGAGTGTACATGACTTTTTTCAATGGCCGTCCATGAAAAAAGATGCATGTGTAGCCAGATTGGTTATGACATTAGTTATGACATAAACCAGCAGGATCCAACTGGACCATGTTAACCAGCCAAAATTTAATGCTTGACATAGACCAGAACAAAAAATAATTCAAATATAACCTCAATTATCAGTAATACTCTACAAATCAGGCATAGTTTGCATTACTTATGTTATTAGTATGCATCAAGTTGTGTTTTAGATTCTATCAATTGCAAGAGTCAATGACCTTTCATCTAATGACATCACATAATGAAGGACAGTCATGTCCAGCATGCAAAAGGTGAATTATGCCAGTGTGCTTTTGGAATTATGTAGAATTAGTGAGCTGGAAAATAAAAATTAGTGGCTTACAGAAGACTCCTCAGAACTGCTGGGAGAAGATTGCTCCTTAAATCCATGGCAGCACAAACCCAATCTGATCTCCTGTATTGTAATTATGAGGAACATTGTGTCAGAAAACTCCACCCCTCTGTCCTCATCATTGTCCATAAAGACCATACATTTACTGCCCACACATTTCCTTCTATTATTTTGAAATTGCTCTGCAAGTCTCGTTAGTATACTTTTTCTTGTATTGTTACGTGTCAACCTATCTACACTCTTAAAAAAAGTGCCAGAAAAGGGTTCTTCAGCTTGTAACAATAGCAGAACCCTTTTTGGTGCTAAATAGAACCCTTTTTAAAGGGTTCCATAAAGAACCATGCTTTGAAAGTGCTATATAGAACCTTAATTGTGCTATAAATAACCTTTTTAATGATAGTTTATTTTCATTAATATTAGTGTATTAGTATATTTATATACTAATACACTAATATTAATGTATTAGTGTATTAGTATATAAATATACTAATACACTAATATTAATATTAGTGTATTAGTATATAAGTATACTAATACACTAATATTAATGAAAATAAACTATCATTAGTGTATTAGTATATTTATATAATTAATATTAGTTTTATTAATATTATTTGAATAACTTATTTATTACTATTGTTTTTTTAGCCCTCTATCTGCCTGGTCTTATAATATCTCATAGCTTCTATTAAGAATTTCATAAAAACAACAACAACAGCATGTTGTGTCAATTAGGTATTTTTATTTTATTTAATGACATGTGAAACTGTAGCAAAAATGACAGTGATTTTAACAACCGTTATTAGCAGAATACATTAATAAATGACAATTGACATTGAACATTAATAAATACAGAGGTAAAACAAAAATAGCAACAGAAAATAGTGTAATGAAGACCAAGTTCTAGTGAAATACTGCATTTTCACAATCCTCTATGATGCTTGTAAGCCCATCATTATGTGTATTTGTGACCCTGTCTGTGAAATTTAGGCTAAAGTCTCAAAATCTAATTATGAGATAACAAGCATCAAAATATGATTTCAATCTTTGACATGGCCTTTTAGCTGGGTTTTCACAGGTAGAAACAGGTTTTCACATTGGTGTGACTGAGTGGCAGTTTTTCTCTGCAGATGACAAGCTTGTAAGATGTGACAGCATCTGAAATGCACAATTGAGTTTAGAGTTACAATGTGCCTCCTTCCATTTGTTTATGTAAAAACAATAAATAAATAAATAATTAAATAAATCTAACAATATGGACCATAAATTCAATATCTTTGTTACTTACTTAGTGGAGGTGGAGAAAGAAATATCCTTAACTGAACAGAGCTGGTCGCACTTACATGTTCTCTTAAACTAAAAAGAGAAAAAGACATGACTGGTAGGAAACCAGTTACAGTTTAAAAGTTGAAAATAATAAGACATTTTAAGAAAGAAATAGTTTACCTGTTGAGAGTGTGTTGACAGTCTGTGTAGTTGGATGGCTGAAGTCCAAAAAAATCAGTAATTCAGGGGGGAAATCAGGGGGAGGGGGTATTTATATTATAATAACAACAATAACAGCAGCAACAACATATTGTGTGAATCACAATTTAAAGAACCATTTTTTTGTGTACTGTGTATATATGAAAACAATATTTTACACAGTCTTTCATCAGTTCATTTGCCTGCTCTCTAATTCACTAATTGTCTGACTCACCGATTCACTCACTGTGCCTCATTTATTTTTTGACCCACAGGTGATTTCCTGTGCAAGTTAATACCATTCCTACAAGTGACAGCCATTGCGACCAGCATGCTCACCATGACTTGTATTGCTGTAGAGCGTTTCCAGGGAATCCTTTATCCTCTGCATGTCCGCAACAGCTACTTTCTTTGTCATGCCTTCAAGATGCTGGGTGAGTTGTGGAAAGAGAGATTAAAGAAGTTATTGTGAAAAAATGTTGTTGTTATTGTTGTTTTAATATAATTAATTAATTAATTATTTTTAAAATGTAATATAAATTTTTTTTTTATTATGAAATGTTTATAATATTTTATTAAAATGTTTTTATGTCTAAATCCAAATAATTGTTTTTCAAATTAAATATGAAATAACTGAATTTCTTAATTCACTTCTATGATGTCACTGTACTGTAAGGAAATTTAAATATGATAAAAATATAATTTAAATATCATCTCAACTCTACTATAATAAACAAAAAAGATTTATTATATTTTCCCCCCATAAATATATATGGAGGTTTTCCCCCCAGATTTTCTTACTGTTAAAAATTTGTGTAATCAAAAGAATAATTATAAAAAATAAAAAAATTATAAAATAAATTATAAATAAAACTTAAAAAAAAAAAAGAAAAAAAATTAATCTCATGATTTCTGATAAGTTTTTAGAAAGCAGAATGAAATGTAATGTTATAAAATAGTGAATTTAGTTTGTGGACTGTCCTCAGACCTCACTTTGAAACTGAGTTAGACAATAGTGACACTATAAAAAAAATTTAAAAAATATTATATCTCGTCCCTCATTTTACAGTGGTCGTGTGGTTGGTTGCCCTGGCAATCGCGGCTCCTATGTGGTTTGTTCAGAAAGTGGAGGTAAACATGCAACCTTTCTGACATTTCCAGAACAATCCCTATCCATTATACAGACCACTATTTTTAGATTAAACAAGCAATTTAGAGATTGCTCACACTCAGGTGCAGAGACATCTAACAGACAAAACTCGAGTCATTAACAGTCAAAGATAAGGAACACAATGAAATAGGGCATACAAATCAGCTTTTAGCTCAGATACTAATATCAGCTAAATCTATCTGAGGAAAGAAAGAAATTTCCTAGTTTTCATTAAGATTATGAAATGCTTTGCAATTATTAAACCAAAAGATTACATGAAAGAAATAGAAAAAAGCGGCTGATGGTTTAAATATAAGCAGAATGTGTCTTGACTCTTTGACATGTGATTTATTCACTGCAGCTACCACCAGAGATAACAGACACATCAATACTATTAGAATCAAATTAGATGTTGCTATGCTAGAGGAGACCATTGAGGGCTTCAAATGCAATGTCCATTATATACTCATTGATATAATAATGCCTTCCACTTTGCTTTATGTTGTCCTTGCATGTGCAGCTTTCACACATTTTTCCCCCTCAAAGACATTTTGTATGCATCACTCCAATCAAATGATGATTGATGTTATGCTGTTTTAGGCATTCAGCAGATAAGCTTCATAAGAAGGACAAAAAGCTGTCTTTAACCATTAGCAATGCCTGTCAGTCAGTAAATCAGACCGTTGTAATTCATTTGTGAATTAAAAAGCATCATTATGAGCAGCATTATACAATATTATTTGCTAAACAAATTCATTAGATTGAATATTTGAATATTTAGCTGCCTCTAGCATTCCCTCCATCTGTCTTTTTTTCAAATAGAAAAGAATGAAGGATTCATATAATAAGTTTCCTCATATTTAACTACCCAGGTGAAATATGACTTTCTGTTTGATGTCCACCACACCTGTTGTTTGGAAGTATGGCCAAGCCAGCACCAGAGGAGAGCCTACACTACCTGTTTGTCCATCCTGGTGTTTCTGGCCCCCTTGACGACCATGGCCATCCTCTACTGGAAGATCATGCGGGAGCTCTGGGGCAAGCACAAAGTACACGACGCCATGTTTCAAACGCTCCCAGGATCTGAAATTAACAAGATTACCAGGTTAGTCTACAACAGGGGGTTCGCTTACCATTTCATTGTTTAGATCATTATTGTCTCAAAAATGAAATTATGCATTAAACAAAACATTAATATTAACTTAATGTCAACCAAAGTTACAATTACAGTAAGAAGCAAAATATACTAAAGGGATACTTCACCCAAAAATCCACCTGATTTTATTAAGGAGCTTGAGCATTTAAAGGGGTCATGAACATGAATCATGAATCATGAAAAAACATCATAATTTAGAAGTATTAAGCTATTTTCTGTCCTATTTTTAACCCCCTCATCAGAACGCTCTGTTTGAATAGGTGTGGAAGATTGTAGACTCAGAAGTAAAAGCCCACTGCAATGATTGGCTCACATCCTCATAGATGGATGCTGCTGTGATTTAGGTTTAAAATGCATAAATAACTAAATACACATCAAATGATCTGTAAGAAGATACAAGGCAATAGTGACCACGTAATGAAAACAGTTATTCACACTTGCGTGTTGCGACATTACTGTTGGATCCAATAGTCGGCACTGCATCGTGTTTTAGTTTCAATCTTTTTAAAAATCCTGCGTCGAATTGTGCCTCATTTGTAAACACAAGCAGTAATGTTGATCTGCTTCTGCGGAGGCAGTGCTTATCCATACTATTACTTCATAGAGTAGAACATGCCAAAAGCTGTCGTTTTGGCAGACTACCTTCAATATAAGCTGTTTTTAGACTAACGGCAAAGTTTTGAGACCTACCAGATGTTTTTATAGTACAATGACAAGACCAAGTGAATTTTGGTTTCTCAGTTCATTGCCCCTTTAAAGCAGCAGACAGCAAAACTGCGGCACACACTTATAATGAACAGAATGTTATCGTGCACTGGTGCATTAATATAGTTATCAGTTTTGGTGAAATTTGATAAAATTGTGTCAAAAATAAGTTCTCAATACTAACCTCTTATTTATTGGGCTGTAGTATAAAAGCAATTACTTTTTCTTTTGAATATATTAAAGAATGTTTCATCCTTTTTGTCCACATAATGCACAAAACAACATTGGACCCCACTGACTTTCATTGTGTGGACAAAATACACTGTAGTGTTTTTTTTTAAATATTGTCTTTTGTGTTCCACAGAAGAAAACATAAGGGTGAGAAACTAATGAAGAATTTAAAAACGTTTTAGGTGAACTATCCTATTAAGTAAAATTATGTAGTATACAAATAATGTAGTATACAAATAGGCTATATGACTCATATAGGGTATATTATACAAATGGTAATCAATACACCAAAAAAAAACAAAAAAACATGGTTACTACACTTTTCCTAAAACCATGGTTAATATCCGTAAGAGATACATTAGTAAATACATTAATATGGTACAAAATTATAGGCCAAGCTTAAAATGCAACATTCAGTTTTATAACATTTATAACAGGGTGTCATTGCTCCATCTCTATTCACCAAAGAGCCAGAAAAAGCATGCACAGCATGGATAGTCATGTGATGAGAATCCTTATGATTTTGACAATAAACAACAACAACAAAAAAAAATTTATTTGTCCATATAATTCTGCGAATTACACTCTGCTTTTGAAAGGCCTATTTAGCAGATGCTTTGATTGCCGGTATTGCATAACGTCTGAATTGTTGCTCTCGATTCACATGGTCTTGGTAGACTGGTACAAATGAAATGGTGTTTGATTGACACCCCTGTATTGTACTGTTATTGACATGCCTGTAACAATACACATGTCACATGCCTTCCATTCTCAGGAGGAAGAAGCGTGCAGTAAGAATGATGGCCACCGTGGTGCTGCTCTTTGTCGCATGCTGGGCACCTTTCCATCTGGTCTCCCTCCTGCTTGACTACGGTACCACAAAACTCCTTGTGCTCTTCCCTCTTGCTTACTGTTGTCAATCTCCCTGTTTTTCTTCTTCCCCCCCCCCCAACCTTTTCACGTGTCTGTCAGTCAACTGCTGTCCTTCCTGTGAGAGTATAGTAAACACATTCTCACTTCAGATTCTCTCCTTCTTTTCCACTTTCCTCCTCCTCAACCTTTTGTAGAAGTCAACACCTCGTTCCTGTGAACCTTCGACATGCAATCGTTTGTCCTATTATTCCTCTCACCGTTATCACTATGGCAACTATTGTGAGTTTGGTGTAGTGCTATTGTCTCCATACACAGATTGTGTGATATCACATAAAAATGCATTAATACAGGTGGAGCATTTTATGTACGTATTTTATTCCTTAATTAATATATATATAATTAATATAATAATATATAAATATAATTAATATAATTTGTGCAAAAAATCGAAATAACACCAAATATACTTCATAAGCAAGTGCAGAATATCAAGCAAGACTGTTTCCCTTCCTATTTTTCAGTGCAAGTTTTCATCTACACTTACTCCTCAAGGTTTCAGTCTTTTTATAAACATTTTAATACACTGATTTATAAGAAGTATTTATTTTTCCATGCCCAGTATTCTGTCCACTCCAATGTCATGTGCACAACATGCAGTTAGTTTCTTCTGTTTTTTTCTGCGGTTCATGTGCTTCTCAGCAGCAACAAAAGCCTTTCGGAAGACAGCATAACCAATTTCTTCTATTTCCAGACATTCATAAGCAGACACACTGGAGCCTGTCCGGTATGGAAATGAAGGTTTAAAGGAAACAATGAAAAGTCATGTGACACTAACATGCTTGCATCTCCAGAGACTCACTTTCTACAGTGTACTGTAAATGAAATAAATAAATGAAAGCACATAGGAAGTAAACAAGTGACTTCTTTGTGAGTGAGTGATTGAATCACTGACTTATATGAAACTGATTTGTTCAAAACCACAGATGAAGCGAGTCATTGTATGAGTCATTCTATCAATTTGTTCAAAACATTAAAGAACAAAACACTATGTTTCTCAGAGATGCACATTGGTTCTACTGTGGCTTCATTTGGAACTGTTTGCTTTGGTAGAGAAAAAATGCAAAACGTAAAAGGCTGTTCACACCAAGGACGATAACTAACTATAAGGTTTTAATAATCATTAATTCTATATGAATAGGATGGAAGGATATTGTTGGAATCCCTTTAGAATGTTATTTTTCCAGCTGATGAATGATAAAAAAAAATTGCCAGTCAATCAGAATTCACCTGATCTTAAAGAGCTTGACGAGTTAAAGTGGCAGAGGACGTAACTGCAGCACGTTGTTATAACAGATTGCTATTTTGCATTAGTATGGATGCTAATATATACTCTAGACCTGGCATTTTTTAGTCCATTACCCTACATCTTGTGTTTTTAAAGGGGTCATATGACGCAATTTCAAGTTTTCTTTGGAGTGTTACAAGCTGTTCATGCGTATATAAGATCCGTAAAGCTGCAAAGACTAAAGTCTCAAACCCAAAGAGATATTCTTTATAAAAGTTAAGACTCGTCCATGCCTTCCTAAAACGCCTCATTTAAACACGCTCCCACATATCTACGTCACTGTGTTGGAAGATTTGCATAACACCGCCCAAATGTTTACGCAAAGAAAGAAGGCGTAACTTTTATTCTCGCTGTAGTATTGTCACTGTCGCCGCCATGTCGTGGAGACGCTGTGTGTTTCCAAATATGGCAAGGGGCGTAACATTACCGTCACATGTTTGAGTTATTCGGCCAATCACAACGCACTGGACGGCTGGCCAATCAGAGCACACCTCGCTTTTCAGAACGATGAGCTTTGTAAAAATCAATGTGTTTCATCAAGGCGGGGGCAGAGAGGAGCAACAATAATGTACAGTATGTGGAAAATAATGTGTTTTTTAAACCTCAAACCGTGTAAAAACATTGCATTACACCAAATATAAAATAACATTATTTTTAGCATCGTCATATGACCCCTTTAACACAAAAACCTTAAAAGTCAATCCTGAAGCATTTTATGAAAGTTTTTTCTTGATTTGTAGAGAAATTTCCATTTTATAACTGTACCTTGCATGTCTGTTCTCTGAACCCAGGTCAACTGGACCTGGATCTTGACTCCGAGTTTCTCCTAGTCAGCGTGGTTCAGATCCTGGGATTCAGCAACTCTGTGTGTAACCCGCTGGTTTATGCTGCCCTCAACACCACCTTCAAAAGGGACCTGCTGGCTCTGCTCACTCGAGGATGCTCTGGTGCAAGAGGTTGCTGCTGTAGCTCATGCTCCTGTTGGTTCTGGAGGTGTCACAAACGAGTGGGCATCTCAGCAGTGGAATCAGTGGAACCCAGACGGGGCCTGGAGACAACATGCAGACAGGGAGGGATCAGATCATGGAGCAAACCAGCATGGGAGGGTGAACCAGAGAGGCCTACATCTAACATGTTCCCCCCCATGAACCTTCTCAGCGCCATCACACACAAAAAGACCTCCAGTACCATGATACTAAGTGTTATCGACCCGCCACACACAGACAGCACATCTGGGTCCGACCAGCCTCTCACAGGCATACTGGGCGAGTGAATGTCAACACAATGAGATTGTAATGATACCTGAAACTCATCGACTTAAATGACTTATAAGACAAAGAATCCTTCAGGAGCTTCAAACAATCTCAAATATAGCCACAGTTTTAATTTTTTTGCTAATGATGTGGATTCAACAACCTTTGAAGGAAGTTTTTGTTTTTGGTGCTCAGTTAACATCTCCACGATAAGGATGGGAGCAAGTCACCCAAGAAAGAAACTGAGATGGTTTTGAAGTGCTTTCAGTCTTTGAGCTTCTGAAAACCACATATGAACAAGACCAGCTACAGTAGTCCAGCATTAGTAAGTATACACTTATACCAGCATTAGTTTTGGTTCCGCTCTGAGAAAGACCAAAGACCATATATGTGCACCCTTCCTAGACTGTGGTAAATATATTCCAGCTGAATTAGATTATTTGTAGAATATGCATCTCATTCATTATTTTCTGCGTGAAATCTGCCTTTACACGAAGAAATCATGATTCACCAGTAAATTTCGTATTCAAATTTAGTATAAATTTACGAAAAATGTAAGAACTGAAACCACACATATGCAAAAAATTGCATACTCTGACTAGCATTATAAACAAGTCAAGATTACATCTTAGATAATTTATCTTAAATGTATAAAAAGGGTCTTGCTTGCTGCATGTGCTCTCAGCGAGAAGGCGGCTTTAGATTGCGTCATGTGACGAGAGTTGCGCGGAAAGTCCTTATATGGAGCTGATTTGGGTGCTTATTGGTGGGGATTGTTAACTTATTAACTTAGGGCACTCCAAATTTATTAACATTAGAATGAAGTACAATTCATGTATGTACAAACGTTCTTGTGCATGTATAAATACGCAATAAATCCACGCAATTATTAGTGAATGAGACCCAGTTTCTTTTAATGCCAGTTTGTGGAGAGCAGCATTAAAGGTTATTTGATGATTGTTTGGCTGTGCTTTTATGTCTCATATCCAGGAGTGTGTGCATCCTCTTGCCTCAGGGAATGTGGATTCAGTCTCCATGCATGGGCCCAAAGTCTGCTGGAAACACTAGCTGGAAGTTCTTCGAGTCAGCAGGAGCCTGCAGAGACGTTTGGAGATGCCCAGCTGAGTGCGGAGGACACACTCTCCATAAAGCCTAATTATTATATCATGACAACTGTGGAGTTTGCTACAGGCAAGATTTCACTATTCAGACAACCTGGAGATAAGAAATTACAAACAGATTGGCTGGTAAAACACACGTTTGGCACCTTGATACCTCAGCTCATCATACTATCAGCATCATTACAATAATCATATTTTGAGAGATTGTTTGTTTGTATATTTTTCTATTGCAATGCACATAAAAATAACTCTAAAGTAGCCTAGATGATTTCGTCACTGTATGTCTTTGTTACATTGTGTGACTTTGTAAAATTGCTGTTTATTTTGATGTTTTATGTTAAAAGTCTTAATATGTCACTGCATACCATTCTCTTTTATGAAACATTAACGTTTACTTTATCTCAGTATGTGGCTCTAAATTCCATGTTCAGTTAATTTCAGAGTAAATTCTTCAGTATTAGGCTATACAGTATTATAATAAAATAAATGAATAATAAAGTTATTTTTAAAAGATAAAGGAACTGATTGCAAAACTATTTAGAAATTATTATTATATACATAATAATTAACACAATAACTCCATAAAACATAAAAAAAACCACAATTACTTTCTTTCTTGGACTTCTGATGGATGAACTTGCCACGGAAACTTTTTGGTGTTTTTTTTAATTTAATTTTAAAACAAAAACATTCTACAAACAACTTTGCAACAGCAAACATTTTACATTCATAAACGAGCAAACAATTGTCTAAGGGGGAAAAAAGAGATACAAAACTTCTACTCATAGAGAGATATTGAGAAAATTAAGCAAGAGTGAGCACTGAGGCATGCGGCTGTGTTAGGCATCAAGGCAGGAACAACGTGGAATCGATATAAAACTAAAAAAAAAAAAATATTATAAAAACCTCTGAAAACGCAGAGAAACAGATGGCACTGAACTGCTCAGAGGTAAAAACTCGCACCTACATCTGAAGAGACATTCTGTTCAATTCAGTGCAAAAAGATGGCAGATGTGTAGAAAAGGCTGTGAAGAGGTGGAAAAGGGTCCCTTGACACAATTACTTTCTTTCTTGGACTTCTGATGGATGAACTTGCCACGGAAACTTTTTGGTGTTTTTTTTATTTTATTTTAAAACAAAAACATTCTACAAACAACTTTGCAACAGCAAACATTTTACATTCATAAACGAGCAAACAATTGTCTTAGGGGGAAAAAAGAGATACAAAACTTCTACTCATAGAGAGATATTGAGAAAATTAAGCAAGAGTGAGCACTGAGGCATGCGGCTGTGTTAGGCATCAAGGCAGGAACAACGTGGAATCGATATAAAACTAAAAAAAAAAAAATATTATAAAAACCTCTGAAAACGCAGAGAAACAGATGGCACTGAACTGCTCAGAGGTAAAAACTCGCACCTACATCTGAAGAGACATTCTGTTCAATTCAGTGCAAAAAGATGGCAGATGTGTAGAAAAGGCTGTGAAGAGGTGGAAAAGGGTCCCTTGAAATTGATGCAGGTTTTTCTCTTGCCATTCAAATCTATGTCAATAGGTGGCAGTGCCTGCACTGTATGACAGCTCTACAATTTCATAATTACATGGGGAAGGGAGGGAGAGACATTTTGTTCTGATCTAATTTCAGCTTTAACTCAAACAAGTCTGTTAGAAGGTGAAGCTGATCTGAGATCTGTTCTGAAAATATATTTCATACACCAATACAGCTACATAGCTATACAGCCGAGTCAGACGTCACAGTTCATTTACTGCTACGTAAATTAAGAAGCCCCGTTTATTGAGATATCTATTCCGCTTGTTCATTTTAATTTCAATTTGTTCCTTCGGCTCGGTTTTTAGGCAGTACTTCATTACGTTGTGCTCTTAGGGCTTCCATAAATATATATCTATTAGTTTCGTTTAATAGAATTCTTGACAACTATTTACATACTAGACAAAAGGCAGCTAAACTAAGTAGTTTGTGGATGAACATAAATTTCCTTCATCTTTGAACCATCTAAAACACGTACCTGTGCACTACCGCATATAAAACAAGAACAGCGAGCATAAGTTTGAAATGCCTCCTTATCCTCGATTTTAATTCAACCTGTGGAAGCAGATACAAGCGTCCAAGAGATACTGACCGTGGTATTCTTTCAAGCTTTTCTTTATCTTTTCAGAACATAAACGACAACACCATTAGCTGGGAACATAAAATCCACAGCAAAGGACACGTTTTGTGATTCATATAACAAGAAATGATGTGTCTGTAGTAGCCGACACACTCGGGGTAAATGAAGAAATGCCTTAGCCACAGAAACCTATATGAAGATGGCACTAAATCTGCTTGTGAAAGGACCAGAAGGATTTGTCTGTTGAACATCTCAGTCACACCACCTGAAAGGCGCGATAAATTCTTCAGGAACACTTACTGTAGGTGAATATTGGTAACGGGTATAAATAATACGTAATTACACAAAACAAATAAATACATCACTTATTTAAATATAAATAAGGAAAACGGAGGTCGAGAAGGTTGAAAAACATCTCATCCTCGCACCAAACAGATGAAGAAGGGTCATTTGTGGGGGAAAAAAATTAAATTTAAATCACCTTTCAGACTGGCAAAATTCAGGGTCAGCCTGACTACAAGATATTCTGGAATATCCAAAGAAAAAAAAAATCATGTTCTGAACTTCAAATGAAACCCTAAACTGCTGACATACGTCTGAAATCCAAAACTCAACCTGAACCAAGTTCTAAACTCATCTTGAAGCATATTTGTTCATTTGTAACCGAGTTTAACAAGGTTTGTAGCCAAGAACAGAAGTGATTCACTGCAGAAATATGACTACATGTAGTGTGAAGCTTGTGAACATCTTCCGTTTGTGCCTGTCAGTACTAAATACACTTGTTTTAGTTTGAACATTTGGCGTAACCAAAGGTTTAATGACATCTATATGTAGGCTTTGGACCAACCTGTAGTTTAAAAGCCTGAGGCCAGTGCATCAAGTAACACTACAATGCACGGTTGAGAGGGAACACATCGCCCTCTGCTGCTAGCCAGTGTAAATCCTCAAAAAAGGTCCAGTGTTGGCTTCTAAACTCAACGTGGGCGCTACAGAGAGGTGATTCTCCAATGTCTCTGTAACAGGACATCAAGTTCATGCAATGAGACCCACAGACCCACTGGGGAGAAATCAAAGCGAATTTACACCTCTCCATTGCTTAGTTCTTGTACTCAACAAATATCTTGCAGTCTTGAAGAAACATCACTCAAATTTGTAGAAGCCTCGTTCAACAGCCTTGGAGGCAATGTGTTCTGCTGAATACCGCTGGTCCAGGTCTAGCAGAGCCTGTAGTAACGTGTTGATGTTTGCCCGCAGGCCCTCTTTTTGCATCCAAACCCGCAGTAGGTCGTAGACTTTGTCCACAGGGTGCTGCGTTTCGGCCACCTTGATGGCGTTGTCGCTCACGCCAATGCTACGGAAAAACTTGTTGTGGTACCGCACATCCAGGGTGTCAAACAGGTCGAAACTCTTGCTTAGAGACTCCTCCTCACCTATTAAATCAGAGCAATAAGACTTCAGAACATGTCTTATGGCCCTTTTAGAATATGAACTTGAAACGAACCAATTATATTAATGAAAAGGGTGCATTCTGTACTTGTAATTAGGGTTAGGATTAATTCAAATGCAGAATTTATATTTATTTTCTTTATTTTAAATACTACCATTTCACAAGGATGCATAAATTCATCAAAAGTTACACTCATGCCATTTATTTAACATTTTCCATTTCAAATAAATGCTGTTCTTTTGAACCTTTTATTTAAAAGAATCCTGAAAAACAGATTACAGTTTCTACAAAAATTAAGCAGCGCAACAGTTTTCAATGCTGATATTATTGTTTCTTGAGCAACAAATCAGCATGTTAGATGACTTCTGACATATCATGTGACCCTGAAGACTGGAGTAATGGCTGCTGAAAATTCAGCTTTAACATTGCAGGAATAAATGACATTTTAAAATATAAACCTGCTATTTGAAATTGTAATAATATTTCACAATATTACTGTTTTTATTGTATTTTTGATCAAACAAATGCAACAAATTTTTTTATCTGACCAACCCAAAACCATTTGAATGGTATCTTATTTTTATTTTTTATCTTTTTAAAATTTTTCTTTCAGTTCCATTATTGTTTTTTGAACATTTGTGCACTTAAGAAAAACAGAAAGAAAATAGACAACACATCTTTCTATTGCACTCTGCTAATTCATCTTTTTACAAAAGAGTCCAAACTCATAAACTGAAACACTGATGTCTGGTGATGCCTGAATTACCATCTGACCCGGTTATTGAACCTTTAAAGTCACATTTACTCAATATAAACCAAGAAATGTAGTTATGTATTCTCCAAATACTGTGTCTGAGAGAATAATATCTTACCAATTAAAGGAACAAGTCTTCTGGGAGGACCATCATCCTATATATATATAAAAAAAATCAGGTTTAGCAATGTTGTGAATTTACTTAATTTTTTAGTAAATAAAGATTTCTGCTTGGGAACTTTGATCTTTCCACACATTTGAAGGCACTATCTTGTAATTTCACTGCATTTCGATGGTTAATGACTGTGTGATTGATCCCAATTCTTACTAACCCGTGCCCATGGCTCTGTAACTGTCTCCGTCTGTCTCGGGGCTGGGGGACTCGATCGTGGTGATTCCTCGTTGTAGACTGCAGGAGGGAGGGCAGATAGACTGGTTTGGGAAGAGCTGGTAGTGTTTGGCAAGCTGTCGCCCAATCCCCGGTCCTCATCTTCCACTGGTATGCTCTTGGTGCATGTTTCCTGCGTTTCTTGCGTCAACAAGGGGCGGGACTCTGGGCGTTGCCCCTCTTCCCTCTCTAATCCAGCATTGTGGCTGTTCTCTTGGTCCTCTTCTGATCTTGAACGCTCATCCTAAGTGATGTCAAGAACAACAAAAATTTATTCAAACTTTAATTTAAAGTAAATAATTTAATCAAAATGTTTTTTTTTTTATTGTATAATTTATATAATATAATTATATTATTTATTTTATATGATTTAATTAATAAAATAATTTAATATTTATTATATTATATATATTATATATATATTTAATATATTTTTTATTTTTAAATGTTAAATGAAAGTTTATTTGCAGGCTGCATCAGAATAATATTAACCTAATTCATCGAATGAATCAAAATAATGCATAAAAAGCCAACAAACACTTACAATAGGAACCTTCACTTCTTTACAATCACCAGCAGGGTCTGAAATAAAGTTGATAGCAAATAGGTCCATAAAAAATATGTATTTAAAGCAGTTTCAATAGAAGTACATTTGATTTTCCACTCTGCAGATCTATGCCATAATACTATGAAGGCATTAATTGTTGTACAATGTGTTATGAATGTTTTTAAATGTCTTCAAATTTCTTATACATATATGTGACCCTGGACAACAAAACCAGTCATAAGGGTCAATTTTTTTAAATTGAGATTTATCTCAATTTCATTTATCATCTGACGGCTGAATAAATAAGCTTTCCATTGATGTATGTATAGAACAATATTTGGCCGAGATACAACTATTTGAAAATCTGGAATCTGAGGGTGCAAAAAAAATCGAAATATTGAGAAAATCGCCTTTAAAGTTGTCATATTGCTAATCAAAAAATACGTTTTGATATTTTTATGGTAGGAAATTCACAAAATATCTTCATGGAACATGATCTTTACTTATTGTCCTAATGATTTTTGGCATAAAAGAAAAATCAATCATTTTGACTCATACAATGTATTTTTGGCTATTGCTACAAATATATCCCAGCGACTTAAGACTAAAGTTTTGTGGTCCAGGGTCACATATAACAACCGACACTGCAGTGTTATTAAATACAAGGATTAAAAAATTATTTTTAACATACCGCTTAGTCGACGTTGGCGTCTCTTATGGAGGAAAAACATTCCAGCTGCAATTACTACAATCAGCAGTACTAAAACTGGTATACCAACTGCTGAAAAAACAAAGAAGATTAAATTAAATATTCCCTTGTGTTCATGATTACATGATACAGTGTTATTAATGTCACTTACTTTCTCATTTCAAGTTAATTTTGGATTTTCGTTTGCATATGCTTGCCTTACCTGTAGCAACAGTGTTATTTGATGCCGAAGGCTTGTCCGTTGGACCTTCTGGCGGAGGAGCGTTTCGCTTCCTGCACTTTGTATTGGATGTCGCAGTGCAGCGGCTCACTTCTTCCTCATCAGCTTTGCACCTGCAAAACCACAGTCAAAAATATGCCTTTTAGAAAAGGTGTGAAGCCAAAGGCCTAAAATAGGAGTCTTTAAATGATTGTCATTATGAATAGAATAGTAATAGCCTCAGGGGTTAAAGGTGGAGAGAGTAAATCAGTGGGAAAGGGATCTGACTCATTGGATGTGGAGATCTAAAGCAGAGGCTGGGCTGAAAGGTTAAGAGAATAGAAGGTGAGAGCGTCAGAGCTGTCTGCTTTCATCTGGGTGTTGTGCTGCAGATCAGAGGTCAAATGGGAAGAGCATGTTCCAGAGGGAAGGAGGAACTCACTTGGCGCA